CTCCGATTGAAAGACAGTGGCTGCCGATGCTGCAGTGACGGCACAGGAGGCGCCAAAGTATGCGTAGGTGGCGTGTATGCGATCCCTTACGTACTGCGGCCACATGACCGAGTGATCGTAGATGCTCGGCTGATTGGCCAGACCTAGGCCGTAATAGCAGAGCCCGACGAGACCCATGAGTGCCGCACCTGCCGCTGCGCCCTTTCCCATGGAGTAGGCGTTCTCGCTGGGCGGACCCATCATGCGTTCCTTGAGCGTGGGTGCCTTTGTGCGCTGGTCCAAGTGGGATCGATTGCGATTTTCCGGCTCCTCGGAAAAGTTACGTCTCATATTAGGACGTTTTGGTAGCAGCAGCGTTTTGTGCTGCTTGGGCACCGCAACTTGCATTTGGTCGGGTCTGCATCTGGGCGCCTGCAGCGTTGACTTCCAAAGTCCCTGGCCGCCGTTGATGGGTGCCTTGCACAGCAGCCGTGTCGAACGCGCTGGCAGGATATGCGCCAAACGTGCCAAAAGCATTTCTGTAGGATTTTGAATATTGTTCGATTAAGGAATTTCAATGAATTGATGTTTTGGATTTAAATCACAATGTGCCTATTGCACGCTTGTCGAAAGTTGTTTAACATATTTGTTTGGAAGAGAGCGTCAAATGTAATAAATGGTTGCAATGCTCAAATCTAGTTGTGGAAAAAAAAAGAAAAATAAAAAAATAGAATACAAAAATACTTAAATATGTATATATTTATGCATATATTTAAAGAATATACCAAATGATTCTTACAATATTTATATACAAATTAACTAAACATAAGTTTTAAGTATTAGTATATCTAATATAAATACATTTTAACTAAAGATTTATTTGCTTAATACATAGAAAATTTCATTTAGTTTTTATTTATGTTATTCATTTATGTGTCAGGGTCAATTTAAAATATAGAAAAATTAAGGATATCTTTCGCACGCCAAAGATTTTATACCCTTATGCAGATATGTTAGAGTAGTGAATTCGATAACAGAATATTTTGCCCTATAACAATCTACTTTTCGATATCTTTATCTTTACTATAGCAGCTATACCATATAGTGGCCCGATGCTGTTTTGTATATATATGAGTTTTACGGCTATAAACTAATAAATCCCAAATTTTGTCAATGTTTATACGAAAAAGGTGTCCATACCATTACCTACTTTTCGGTCTTATGCAAAGTTTCAAGATGATAGCTCTAAAACATAGAGATTAGTTCGCATAGAAACAGACGGACAGACGGATGTAGCTATATAAACTCGGCTCTTGATGCTAATCTAGAATATATATACTTTATGGGGTCGGAAGGTTATAAAGTAATAAAGCTATTATAATAAATATGTAAATATAAATAAACTATATTTATAGTTGTATTTTCAGTTTTTTATCAAAAGAAAAATACAAATTCGATTTAATATATATCATAAACGACCAAAGTTTTCCACTTAAGATACGCACCAAAATTTACATATATCATATTTGACACTCATTATGCGACAATCTCGTAAAGGTCTTTATAATATTTGGCTGCAAACTATTTTCAGTTGGCCAAATCTGAAATACCTTCAATTGTTTGGCAAATGTCAGCAATTATGTGATACAAATAAACTGATTTTCAGTGTATATATGAGCCACAGGAATGCCAGAATTGCAGAAATCACAAATGTTGCACTTACAAACAAATATTCGAGCACAAATTCGTATATGAACTGGTCATCCACTTGTCTGACGGTCCATTCGATGCCTTTTGCTTATTTGTCTTTTAATTGCCTGTTATTTTTTATTTTTTTTTTGCTGTCGTCAGAGAAAGAGCAACAAGATTTTGTTTATTTTTATTTATTTGGAAATTTTATTTTCGAACGCAAAGCTCTAGAACACGTAAATCCGAGGCGAAATTTTAAACGAATGAAACGCTTTGCACATAGATCATGTCCCCTTTGGGTACATTACAATTGGATGAATCGAGCGTAAAATTGGCTGCATTTAATTAGCTGCTCATAACAATTTGTAAAACGCACAAATTTATGTCTCCGAAATATCCCAATTTAGGTGTGTCCCTCGTTGCCGTAGGGCCTCAAGCGAAATAACTTTGCCACACGCAATGTCAACATTAGAAATTTTCTTGTACTTTTTTATGACACGCATCCCGTCTTGAACATTTTTGATATTGACCTTTCTTTTTATGGGACGCTGCTGGGCATTCGCTGAATCGTTCGACTGGCTTTTCACCCAATATTTCTATGGCAAAGTTCAGGGCCAACGCTTCGATAGTCAAAAACTCAGAAGCATTGCCATATATGATAGCCGAAAAAAATAACACACCAACAAAATATACAACAGCTCGTCGGGCTATTAATAAGCATAAATATGACATATTTTTGCCGAGTTTGCTGAAATGCAAAAAAAAAAAAACTGAATAAAATAACAAATCACGAGGGAACAACAGCTAGAAACATGCGTAGGTTTTTGTTGCTTTATAGCGCTGAATGCTTAAGATTTGCTTTAAAATTAAAGCACGTTTCATTTGATGACCAAATGCAGTCAAAGCTGTAAAATCCCATGTCTACACATATTTTATTTAGAATAGACAAGTGAGATGAACACATTAGATACTTCTTGTAAGCCAGAAGCTTGTCTTTCAGCCCGAAGGAATAGAGAGAAAATAAATACAATGCCACCTTGTAAAAGGGAAGTGTTTTCAAATATATTGTATTATGCGCATTTATGCGATAGCCTTGAAATCTATAATAAACAGATTGATTCTTGCGACAGCGTAAATATTATAGTATTTGGTGTAAATATTTAGATACATATTTAAAGAGGTGAAAATATTGTCAACTATTTTCAATTCAATTTATAACCTTGCAGAGTGTGTTTTTTTTGTCATGAAATGTGTTACATATATTCCAGATCAGCATCAACATCCTTGTTGATATAGCCATGTCCGACTGTCCATCTGGCTGCTCTCATGCGAACTAGTCGCTTAGTCTTAAAGCCATCGCCTTGAATATGCAAAGCTCCGCCTTGCTGTTGCAGGCAGTAAATGTGTCGAAACTGGTCGGATCGGACCACAATATCGGTACGATCAGTCACGAAGTAGGTTTCTGTATAAGAAACTTTTGTATTTACCAAAATATCGTGGCCAAACTCGGCATTTATTAGTTTCACTATGCTCCTCATATGTATGCAAATTCTTTTCAACATCAGACAACTGTATAATATAGCTGCAATCATATAGGAACTATCGCTCGAAAAGTAGGTTCCTGTATGGCAATATGTTATGGTTTCCAAGATATTTGGATCAAATCATATCTTCAAGAGGCAAATGTCTACAATGCCATTTTAATCTTTCTCTATGATTTTTATTTTACTTAATTATATTTACACATGATGGTATACAATAAAAACAAAAAACAATAGTGGCTTGATCTCATAATTTGTAATTTATTAATTATAATTTCAAGGGTTTCCTATTAAGAAATGTTGAACTTTCTTAAATAAGAAATAAAATATTTTTAAAAAATATGTAACTTTTATTTTTTTAGAATAACAAAAGATGTATTGTTGCCACTTAAAAGAGATTGGAAACTATTTGGGCAAAAATCTTATTTATAAAATATTCATATATATATTATAGGGTTCCAGACTTTTTTTTTTTTATAAATACATTTTTATTTATACACTCTGCCAAACATAATAGTGAAAATATTTGAAAAACCAATTTTTTATAATATTTTAATATAACCACATACCTAGACTTTTTGTTAAGTGTAACATTTTTATTGCTACTTCAAGCCAAATAAAAAAGGGAGAAAAATTTGAATTGTTAATATTTAAACACAACTACATTCCCAGACTTTGTTTTACAATGTAACCTTTTTATGGCTACTTCAAGTAAAATAAAATATGGAACATATCTTACAAATTTTGTCGCTAATATTTTAATATAACTGCATTCTCAGACTTTCTGCAAATGAAACCGGTTTTTAACTTTCCACTAATTTAAATTTTAGTGCATATTTTGTTGTAATAACTAGTTGGTCTTACAAAGTATGCACTTTAATTTCAAGGGACAGAAATTTATTGCTTTTCATACTTTTTATCTGAATCAAACCAAAAAAGTTTGGATAAATATCGTGCTACCTATATTTTGTTTATCGTCAAATAAAAAGCAGCAACAATTTGTTTTAGTAAGACGTACTAGTTTTAACAAAATAAAAAAAGATTTATAAGCAAGCAGACGGAAACACAATTTTTTTTTTCGCTTCTTAAGAGTCGCGCAACACGTCTCAATTCTTGGGGCTGCGGCTGATAAATGGCAAACACCTGGCTCGCGACGAAGTGCTGATAAGGAATTGGCTTTATCACTGGCCGTGTCTATTCATATACATATATGCATTAGCTGAACAAGGGAAAGACGGCCCATCAATAAAAGCATTGATGCCGGAAATCACATCGTTCATTTTGACTGATTAATGGCAAACGCTTTCAATTTTTAAGGCTAAAGTACAACAGGAAAGCCCACACTTAGATAAAAGATATATACCCTGTTTATTAAATGGGAATTTGAATAAATTTCGGAATGATACAGGGTTTCATTTTTATGGCTGCGAGGCTATATACAAAATATAGCCTCTTTATCGATAGTTTAATTAAATCTTGGATTTAACTTGATGTAACGCTTATAGACTTAAGTGTTTAAGTGCTGCATAATCGTACCTTGTAAATAAAGTGCTCAATAATATAACTTGTCTCACCGAAAGTTTCAGTCCTTGGAACTACAATGCGATAGGAAATTGTAGTCAGCCTTTTGGTATACGCTGTAAACTAAGAGTTTTCAAATAATCAATCTTAACCATATTCTGTAAGTTGACAGTTTCATAAGAACTTTAACTGTGCTCAGGTTAATCCCAATATAAACTGATAATTGCAAATCTCTAATAGCTTCTCTTGACGTTCATTCTCGCTTTGCAGAATGGTCGACTTCAAGGTGCAACAGCGTCGTTATCGTACCAGCGAAAAGACTGTCGTCAGCACCACCTATGGCCCCATCAAGGGGGTCAAACGCAAGTCCATCTATGGTCAATCGTATTTCAGTTTCGAGCGTATACCCTTTGCCAAGCCACCAGTTGGGGAGCTGCGCTATAGGGCGCCACAGCCACCAGAAATATGGACTGAGGTCAAAAGCTGCACATCACAGGGTCCAAAGCCGCTTCAGAAGCATTTTGTATTCGAGATGACAGATGGTTCTGAGGACTGTCTCTATCTCAATGTGTATACCAAGAATGTAAGTGAAAAAGAAACGAAAAACTCATATGTTTACAATTTATTTATAATTACTTTTATCGCACAGTTATATCCCACTAAACCAATGCCTGTCATGGTCTGGATCTATGGCGGCGGCTTTCAGTTTGGCGAGGCCTCACGTGAATGCTACAGTCCAGACTATTTGCTGCGCGAGGATGTGGTCGTAATATCCATTAATTATCGCCTGGGTCCACTGGGTGTGTATATAAATTGAATATTATATGAAATATATAAAACCTAATAAATAATTTCACTGTTGCGTTAGGCTTCTTGTGCCTAGAGGATCCCGAGTTTGATGTGCCCGGCAATGCGGGTCTCAAGGATCAGGTCTTGGCTCTACGCTGGGTGAAGGCCAACTGCTCGAGATTTGGCGGCGACTCGAATAATATTACAATTTTTGGTGATAGCGCGGGCAGCGCTTCAGTGCACTACATGATGATAACAGAGCAGACGCGCGGCCTTTTTCACAAGGCCATCTGCATGTCGGGGAATACCCTTTCGCCCTGGGCTGTAACGCCGCAGCGCAATTGGCCTTATCGGCTGGCTGTGCAAGCCGGCTACACGGGCGAAGCTACGGAGCGTGAGGTATGGGAATTCCTGAAGAATGCCAAAGGCTCTGATATAATCAAGGCTAATGGCGAGCTCTGCATCGACGAGGAGAAAAAGGAGCGTATTGGCTTCTCCTTTGGCCCCGTCATCGAACCCTACGAAACCAGCCACTGCGTGGTGCCCACCAAGCCCATCATAATGATGCGCACTGCCTGGAGCAACAGTATACCTCTCATCCTGGGCGGTGTCTCCAACGAAGGTCTGTTGCTCTACTCCGAAACCAAGTCGAATCCCAAGTGTCTCAACGAGCTCGGTGACTGCCGCTACGTGGTGCCTATTGAGCTAAACCTGGATCGCGATAGCGAACTTTGCAAGGACTATGGCGAGCAGCTGCGTCAGTGCTACTATGGCGATAAGACGCCCAGTCTGGACACGCTTCACGAGTATCTGCAGGTGTGTGGGAAGTAGATAACATAGATAATATATCAGTTATCTTTGAAGTGGTTCAGATTAATTATAGTCTGGAACGTATGCGATAGTTTATTCGGATCTCAAAAATCATCTTATCAGAGGTCACAGAAAGCTATCTAATTTTTATTCTTAAACAAATAATTAGTTTGTGATCGATTGTGAAGGTAGAAGAAAGTGTAGTCAGAGTTTTGCATAGAAGAATCACATTTCTTAACTGTTTTTCGAAGGCTTTTTGATGTGCATTTTATTGTGAAATGATAATGAAACTAAAATTTGTCGAAGTTGATAATGAGAGCTTGAAAAAGAAAGACGTTTTTTTGACTTAGCGCTCTAGTCGGAGCTATATGATAAGCCGTAACAATATTGATAAGATTTAGTTATTATTAAACGCAGTAGAGTTTTTTTTTTTGCTTTTGATGAGAACGGCTTTAAGAAGATAGCTATTGATTGATCATTCCTATTTGGTCCGCTAAGCAGAAGATTACTTACTTAAAAAAACCACAAAATATATAATATAATGATATTATCCGGTTATTCTCGATATATATTGTTTCCAGTAGCAAAACTTACAAACTATATTAATTAGCAGAGAGGTGTTGAGAAGCAGATAAAAAAAGTTAATATTTTAATAAGAGAAGAAAGCACATTCACTAATCTATAACTTGTTCTCTCTGCTTTCCAGATGGTCTCACACGAGTACTTCTGGTTCCCCATTTATCGCACAGTATTGTCGCGATTGGAGCACGCGTCGAGCGCACCCACCTATTTGTACCGCTTCGATTTCGACTCGAAGCACTTTAATCATCTGCGCATACTCAGCTGTGGCAAGAAGGTGCGTGGCACCTGCCACGGCGACGATTTGTCGTATCTGTTTTACAATTCGCTAGCGCGCAAGCTCAAGAATCATACGCGGGAATACAAATGCATCGAGCGCTTGGTCGGCTTGTGGACACATTTTGCCACATATGGCAATCCCAATTATGATCCCGAGCAGGCGGAACTGTGGGAGCCTGTGTCGGCCAGTGCAGTTGAGAAGCATCAGCTGAAGTGCCTTAATATATCCGACGATCTGAAGATAATCGATGTGCCCGAGCTGCGCAAATTGATGGTCTGGGAGAGTTTCTTTAAGCGCGACGAGCTGCTGTGAACAAGGGTGTGCTGTGAGGGGAATGGGGGCCTCTACTTAGCATTAGCATTAGCTTTATGTTGAAAACAATGCAAAGCGTAGCTTTAAAGTCTAGAAAGAACCATCTATATATGTGCTGTTAAGTTTGTCCAAGAACGAAATTCTATTTAAGCCTGTTCAAGTTTGATCCCTGTCTATAATGTCTACAGATCGCTGTTAGATTCAGATACTAATTATTATAATTGAGGTTATCTCTAGAGAATGATATAAGTCGCCACTGAAGTACCTTTTGATAACGCGTTATGGATCCGTACGGCCAATGAATGTGCATAAAGAAAATGTTCCTTATGAGTCGCAAAAGAAAAACTACTTATATCAAGCATATATTTCCTATATATATATGCATAAGGCTGTCAGAGCGCCCTAAAACTATGATTTTTCTTGTATTATATGGCGTTCAGTTCTCTTCCGTGCACAAAAAAAAAACAACAACTTACCCAAATAATACTATTTTTTATATATATTATTATTTTTTGAATATAAAACAATTCACCCAAATAAAAATATTTTGTATAATATTAATTTTTTTGGAATATAAATCGTTTGTTTAGCTTTAATACCGACTTGTGTAGGATTTTGAATATATAAACCTTTTATAATAATCTAATTTTTGGACACGTATTTGTTGTGTTTTTGTAGTATACAATATACCAGTCCAAGTTTTACATATTTAGGAATATGATTCTTGTTTACATATAGTAATATATATAATATTATATATATGTATTTACTTAGGACTTGAATTTTAATTTTAATGTGTCTGTTGACTAAAAATACCTTGAAATGTTATTCGAAATGCACAAAAAATAATGCAAGTCTTAAATCTTTTGAATTGGTATTTTTTTTTGTATAGATACCACATAGAGCATTCTAAGTCGAGCTCGATAAATTCAATTTTCTATAAGCTTCAAATATATTGTGATGCCACAAATAAGAAACTAAGAAATTTGAAAACCCATATTTTAATAAGAAAATCAAACAAATTAAAAACAAATAAAAACTGAATGTATTTTAAATAAAACAAATATTTTATTTAAAACTAGCGGGTATAGCCGGGCCTTGCCCGTGGCACGTATAAATTAAACGTTCTCAAAAAGCTTTGAAAATGATTTTGAAACCGAGCGGATGGTTAATAAATAGCTTTCATTCACGTTATTCGCTAATTAACTACTGCCGTGGGTGGAATTTCCCTGTCGCTACAACACTTTTTCATTAAGTTCTTATGTAGAGCCTTAAAAACAAGTTTGAAGCAAATCGGACACCACTTTAAGCGTCGCCCAAAAAATCTTTGAATTGCATTTCTTCTTTCCGAAGGAGTTTAGATGTAAGACACATCTCAAATGATTTTCCATATATATATCCATGAAAATGGATTTGAGGGCGAAACGTCATCCACCAAATCTTTGACCCCCATTTCTACCAAGGAGGAACAAGTTTTTGGAAAAGTGTGAAACACACCTCAAATGAATTTGAACAAAGAAACAAATAAGTTTCATACAAACATCTTTCCATTTTTCCATACTTGCGGGAGGAATTTCCCGAAACCCCTTCTTGACGTGCACCTTCATCACATTGCTTTGGTCACAATTGAGATCACATATCAGTGAGTCAGTCAGCCAGGACAAACAGTTTTATATATAGAGGTATTTAAACAAAACGAGTTGAGATTTTTCTCAGCTAACTTTGCCAAAGTTGTCAGAAAAATCTAATATGACAAAGTACGTAATTGTTCTAAAAAAACTGAAAGTTCTGTCCGCTCATTCCACTGGCATCTACACGAACTACGACTATGTACAGAAGTAAGTATTATAATTTATATCATAGTAAATCGTTAATTGACCACAGTCTGTATAGCACATTTACTTAATAAAACAGTTTTTATACCCTGAACCCATTAAAAATAGGCATGGGGGTATATTGTATTTGTGCAAAATCCAAATGTATGTAACAGGCAGTATGTATGTCCGTCCGTCCGTCCGTCCGTCCGTCCGTATGTATGAATGCAAGGATCTCAGAACCTATAAGAGCTAGAGACTTGAAATTTGAAAACTTGAAAATAGATGTAGATGCTCCTAGCTCCCGCGCAGATCGAGTTTGTTTCCGATAATCGATAACTTACTCCGTTTTCAAGCAATCGATAAAAATCGATATCGATATCCTGTTTTGTGGGCAATTTTGGTAAATAATAAGAGCTAGAGTCACCAAACTTGATATATAGCTTCTTAAATAGAATATATATATGCATTTGATGTTGGAAGAAGAGGGTTCAGGGTATCCCCTAGTCGGGAGCTCCCGACTAGAACCTCTTGTTTACTTTATTTTGGGCTCTGTTACTGTAGCGCTTATCGCCCAACTGAATCTGAACCAGAAACTTGCGATTTTGCTTCTCTTTCTGCACTCTTCTCTTTTATTTGCTCAAACAAACCCCGCGTATCAGCTCAATGTCTACTCTTCAGATAAATCCTATAAAATGAAAAATATAAAGAACCATTAAAGACAATCACAAGCTATTGCGACGCGTGACTAATTCAAGTGCAAATGGCAAGTTGTTAATTGGGTTTCTTGGAGGTGTGACCACAATTTCAGTTGATAATGGGCGGTAAAAGCAATGTATGATTTGATAGAGCTGAATCATATTTCAATATGATTTCTGGGCTGATACCAAAGCGAGTTTTTAAGATATATATATTGATGAGCTTGGGTTGGGTTAAGTGGTGGAAAATTTTAGCATACTAAATAGCTTATTAAATTGTTAAATAGTTGCATTCTCTAAGAAACTGTACTCTTTTGGGCTTAAGCTTATGTTAGGCCAGAAAATAGGTTAGTTTTTCATCCTAGTTATCCTGGAACATAATGGTGAGAGGTATAAAATGAAAAAGTCAATGCTTCAATTAATTTTTAGATTGAGATGGGTTAAATGTTAGTTTATAAAAAGTTAAGCTAGGTTAGGTAAGGTAGTGTTTGCTTAGATGAGGTTACGTTTGACTAAGTGAGGTTATGTTATGTGAGGTTCTGTTCACAAGTATGCGGTAAATACTATATGTATTATTCTCGGGATGGCAATAATGAAACATACTGTGAGTATTATTTATTTATTTTATTGGTCGACAAAATGACTGTCAACTTTAGCATTTAATACATTAGAATAGCAAAATTACTTACAGTACTTGATAATTTTTCTCGATGTTCAACCCATCAACTTTTTCAGCGTTACTCATGTACTGTTTATCAATAATTTAGCAAATATATAAAAATAATGCAAATAAGTAAATCAAACAAGCCATATAAGCACTCGTTAAGCATTTCACTCCAATGATTCAGTTAGTTGCATTCGATAAACTAAAGAGAGAAGTTGAGATGTGTTCAACGCTGCGAGCCCTATTTTTGCTCAGGTTGTATTTATGGAAAGTATAAAAAATAACTTTTCAATTAACTATTCCATATTTTATTCAGCATTCTGGCCATTTGCCTGTATTTGGCCATGACTGAAGATGTGTCAGCTCCTGAAGTTATAACCCAAAGTGAGCCCAGACACACAACCGCAGACGATTTTCAGTTTTGATGTCGATATTTTGATATTTTGACAACAGTATGGAAAGAAATAATTATGGTTGAGCCAAAAAAATGCTGAATTTTCAAACAAAAAAATCTGTAAAATATTGCTAATAGAAACGATAAATCAGGTCTCTTGTGTTTGATTAGACCCGAGCAAAACTGGTTTTAATGAGATGCGAATATGGTAATTGCAATTTGTTCAAATTCAAGTTCAAGACCAACTTCTAACTGTAATTTACCAGTTGTACGCCTGGCTATACGTAAAGAAGTATGTTTTTAAGGTCTTTGCACTCGGTTTTATGAAAGTACTTTGGCTAAGCCTTAATAACTTTTGGGCGTTTGCTTCGTATTTCGTTAAAACTTAAGGTGATTTTTTATGTGCTTTTTGGGGACTTTTTTTAAATATGCCAAGTATTTTGAATTAATATAAAATATTTAGAAATATTTTATAAAAATTAAATGCTTGTTTTATATTTATATTGCAAAAAGTGACCTTGAATCAGCTTGAAATGCCCCAATTGGCTACACTTTGTCTTCATATCGATTAATCATAAAAGCTCTGTACATGTAATTGAATTACAACTTTCATAACAGACCACAGCGATCTACAGCTGCTATGTGTTTGTTTAACATGCTATTTGAGCTTTTTCTAACAGTCCCTTGCATTTACTGGCAACGCTATACAAATCAAAAGCTTTCAACTAAACAGTGCAGGCAAAAATAACAATGCTACACACAGCAACCGATTCGCCCAGAGCACGAACAAACCACCTGTTGAGAGCAAGCAGAGGCGGAGAAGAGTGCGTGAGAGAGCGCGTTTAAGTTTGATTGTGTGTTTATGTTACGCCGCTCACCCAACTTCCTCCCTCCCAACGAAAAGGCAACGCGATCGCGCGACTTCACTCAGTTGTTGACCCACTCTCGTGCAGAGCGGTTCGTCTAGTGTGTCTCTACAAGAATCGGATTGTTTGTGTGCGTGAACTGAATTCATTTATTTACTTTCGCTACACAAGCCGCGCCTAATACAAGCGTAGGGCCGTGAAATTTGCTGTTGGATTTTTTATAATTAATTGGTGTTTGTGAAAAGGTGCAATTATTATTATTCTATAATGGCTGTGCGTTTCATGGATATGTTAAAGCTCACCTTTAAGTAAGTATTTGAACAGTAAGCAACAAAACAAAAGCACTTGTTTCCCCTGTCTGTGGGAGTTCATGTGTGTGAGTGTTGCAGCAACATTAACAGATTTCTTGTTCGATCGTTAGTCGTTATGATGGTTGCTCTCGCTTGCTCTTACATATGTACACACATCTGCACATATCTCTGTGTCTGCATGTATGTAACGCAGTGTTGCGTTGGTGAAATTGTTGCGCAAGTTTTACAGCTGGTTTTTGCATAAATTTATCGAAGCCTTTTGTTTTCTTCATTTCGATTCCGCTGTGATTTTTTTTATTTATTTGTCTAAATTCGTTAGTTTTTTATTGCTATTATTTGCACGTTTTTGCCGACATATGAAATTGTTTTTCTTTTTTTTATTGCTTATACAACAGTATTAAAAGCGGGCTCCTTAAATATCAATTAGTCGAATTTAGTTAATTGCTAAAGTTGAAAATCAATAGCACTTTTAGGACAATGCATATATAAAAAATCAGTAAATAATAATATAATATAAATCTAATAGACGGGTGAATTCTTTATTTGACTGGAAAAAGATCAGCTATTGGTCCTATATGAAATTACAATATGCCTTTAAGTAAGGTACTCAAACGATCATATAATATAAAATACAGTAAACGCTCAAAGCCTGAGGACCCAACCAGCCTTGGCGAAATACCACCTAAGTTAACTGTGTTGTAATAAAAATGAATGCTATTTTTGATTCAATACAATAATCATATATATATATATATATATATATATATATATATATATATATAATAAAAAAATAAACGCTCAAATATCTTAACTACAGAAGGAAGAATTATTTGGACATTAGTATCGGCATTTGGCGGAAACTAAACGCTTTGAATTAAGGTGTTGCATCATTTATTTAATATATAACAGCATAATAAAAAAATATATGTATTTTATATGTTTATAATATAATAGCTGAGGTGAAGTTTTTAAAAGTTCCGAATTTTCTTTTTGCATTTTGTAATATTCAAATATATTCTTTTCTTTTCTTTTTAACTTATCCAGTTTAGTATAATTTCAAGAAAATCATTTAAAACGCATTGTACTCATATGTTGAGGCGTACCTACCTAAGGTATGTACCTACTTTTGAGTACTCCTGAGTACTCTTACGTACACTTGTACCTACTTTAGAGTATTAACAAGTCTGGAGTAGACATTTAATCTGAAAAAAGGTAATCAGAATTTTTAATCAGCGTAACTGTTCAAGCAAACAGTGACCACTTGACTTAATTAGTTTAGCTTGAAGAAAGGTCGAAAGGTCGTTCTTTAACAGACTTTTCGATATATTAATAAGAAACCGTAGCTTTTCTACAAACTTATTCTCATATAAGTCCACGTGTAGGTACATATGCGACAACAGATTGATAAAGCCTGTCAGGTACATAGTTCATTTAGCTTTCAGGTAGAATATTTGCTTGTTTTTTATTTTTTGTGCTGAATTACTCAATGGGCATGACATGACAAGTTTTAGTCATATCATGTATATTTAATTTTAATTCGCATGCTAATCTATTGTTTAGACATTGTATTTACAACATTTTAGTTTGTATCCATCGAAATATATTCACCCTTTGCTGATTTTGAAGATTTCTTTCGCTTAACCTTCGCTTTTGCAAATGTTTTGGAGAACTTCGCTAGTTTGCTGATAAGAATTTTATGGAAATCAATACACATGCAGCTTATCAGCTGTCTGATAAACAGCTGTAGAAGTGGACATGTGTGTGTAGATGTGTATTACGAGTACTCTACTACATGCGACATTTTTGGGGCGATTTCGTGCAATAGACTGAAACTAATTAAATATCATACGGTAATCCCGTTAAAGCAATTTATGATTTTGGTGCTCATATATAGAGCTCAAATAACAGTTTTTATATCTGAATATTGCTAAAAGTTGTCCATATATATATATACTTATAATTTATAAAACAAACAAAAATGCATTCCATACACATTAATAAACCACATTTTTGTGTCGTTAAGGTTCTACTTATATATGTATATGCAACTAATAATGACAAAGCAGATTCGAATGGAATGAGTAAATAATACAGCTTTTTTTAATTGCTTATCTAATGGCTGGATATGTTAATAATAAAAATAATATCGAAAAAAAACGGGCTAAGTAAAAATTTATTTAAAAATTGGTTACATTTGCATTATGAAAATCATTCTCAAATAAATAATATTTTATATTACCGCTTGTTGAACTCAAAGCTCTAGAAAAACTAATTATAGTAATTTATTTTACGCTGTTAAAGTTGTTGCCATTAAAATCTATAAAATATACAAGGAAAAGTGCCATAGTCAGGAATGCCCGACTAGGGGATACCCTGAACCTTCTTCATATACTGTTCTAAGAGCTACATTTCAAATTTTCGAACTCTAGCTCTTAAAAACTAAAAGATTTGCTAAAAAAAATTATTCCGATTTAAACTTTTATCGATTGCTTCAAAACGGGGCTAATTATCGATGAGCGGACTGGTCGTACTGCGCGGGCACTAGTAGGACCTACATTCAAAATTTAGCTCTAATAGGTTCTGAGATGGATAAATCGATTCGGCTATTGATGCTGATATAGAATATAAATAATTTATGGGGCTGGAAATGCTTCCTTCTGCTTGTTACATACATTTTCACATTAACATTAAACCCTTTCAATGGGTTCAGGATATAAAAAAAGAAAAAATTCATACTAAAGCCATCTCCTTAATACTCTTACTAAGGAATGTGTTTTCAACAGTTTATTTATTCTTTTTAAGTAAGCTTCTAAAAAAAAACTGAGTCACAGAAGAATATACCAAGTCTGTCTTATTGGTAGCAACTGACTGCCCTGATGACTGACTGACTGATTGATGACAAGCTCTCAGCCCGATCCGTAAGAAATATATAATTATAATTATCAGGAGTTATTTATTACATTTTGTAACGCGTGAATAAAAATTAATAGTTTGAGAAGAAACCGTAGAATGTATTTTAAGTAATCCTTTCAGTTTTAAGACAGTTAAACATATAAGCTTCATAACAATGTAACTATATAGTGTATGGTATATAGTTTAACTATAGCGTTCCTTCATAGTCGAGATCAGAAAGTGTATATCGGTTCCAGGGCATAATAAAACAAATTGAATTTTAGAAAACCTGGTTAGACAATATATTTGTAGCTTATGAGATCTTTGATCGAAAATGTCTTCCGGTTTTAAAGCTACCATCTGGTTGGGCATACTTTAATATATATACATAGTCTTAATGCAATTCTTAGGCTTGTCTTCCTTCTCTTTCTCTGCTCCTAATTATAGACTTCAACTTACCAGCTCCATTTCCGTCACGTACTACTACTATAATCTTGTGTATCTGATCTTTCTTTCTCTCTCTCTGCCCGCTCTTTTTTTTCTGAAATTAGCAATTTGTATGCAATTTCATTGTTATTGTTGTTGTTGCTAAAGTTAAACTATGTCAGTGCATTGGGGCAATGCGTGTTAAATATAAAATGTGTGATTAATTTTTGAGGTGCGCAATTGAAAAGAAAAAAATGCCATAAAATGCATAAATCGCACACCCACAGTCGAGACCGCAGCAATAAAAGCTAAATAAAAAATAAAAAATCAAAAACAAAAACAATACTGAAAATAAAAATTAAATAAATAAAAAACAAACAGTAAATAGAAAACTTGTCGAGCATATTAAGCGTGCAGCGTTGAGGTTGGTCAAAAGGCGCGACTTTCAAAAAAAAAAAAAACATACCGTAACGCAACCACAGTGTGGCATTGAAAGCGAACCACCAGCCGGCAATTTGCTGAGTGCGTGACTGATTTTAGGCCAAAACAAGTTAGACGAAGTCAGCTAACTGTCGAAGTCTAAATGCCCTAACATTTAGAAGATGTATCATATATTATATTGTGATCTGCTGATTTTTGATTTGGCATGCTAATATAGTTCAATAACGAGTTGTACAGTTGGGTTATAATATATATACAAATATTCGAAGAATGAATTTTGCACCCTTAGTTCCTATAGCAGCTTTATAACATGGTAAGCCGAATTGCATATTGTTTATTATTTGTTTGTATTATACTCAGTTTGGTGAAGAGTGAAGAGTATTTTAAGAGTCAAAAGTTTTATAAATCTCAGAATTGGACTGATAGTCAATATGGATACTTTAGGTTATAGTGGTCCGATTTGGACGCATTCACTTGGAAAAGGCTAAATCGACTCGGCTGCTTACACTGATCAAGGATGTATGGAAAATTGTGTTTCTTTTATATCTGAAATATATAATATGGAAATGTCAGCAAATTATATAGAATATGTATGAACATATATCGCACTTTTTTTTTTACATAACTGAAATTCCCTCTGTTAGTGTATATTTATTGCAGCAAGAAGTGCGCCCCACAAACTGCGGCTTCAATCATAACTATGTTTTCCACTCTCACTCACACTTACCCTCTCTCTCCCTCTCTCTGTTTGTCTACTTGCATATACAGGGTGCTCAGCTTTAAGTACGAACAGCGTCGCCTGACCACAGCCATTTATTCGGTGGTGAAAACCAAGCTGGGCAACGTGAAGGGCGTAAAACGCAACACCATATGGGGCGGCAGTTATTATAGCTTCGAGAAAATTCCGTTTGCCAAGCCGCCCCTGGGCGAGCTGCGTTTCAGGGCGCCGGAGCCGGCGGAGCCCTGGGAACGGGAGCTGGACTGCACTTCGCCGGGCGAAAAGCCGCTCCAAACACATCCCTTCTTTCGCAAATTTGCCGGCTCCGAGGATTGTTTGTATTTGAACGTGTACGCTAAGGATGTGAGTAATTGTAGCAGGCAGCTTTTAGTCAGCAATCACTTACTGCTTCTTTTTATTCGCGTTTAACAGCTGCAGCCAGCGAAACCGCGTCCTGTGCTGGTCTGGATCTATGGCGGGGGGTTTCAGGTGGGCGAGGCCACGCGTGATATGTACAGTCCGGATTTCTTTATGTCCAAGGATGTGGTGCTAGTCTCCATAAGCTATCGTCTGGGCGCGCTTGGCTTTCTCAGCCTCGAGGATCCGGAGCTCAATGTGCCCGGCAATGCAGGACTCAAGGACCAAATTATGGGCCTGCGTTGGGTGAAGGAAAATATCGAAGCCTTTGGCGGTGATCCCAACAATGTGACCCTGTTTGGTGAGAGCGCAGGTGGTGCCTCCACGCATCTGATAACGCTCAGCTCCCAGACAGAAGGTCTGCTGCACAAGGCCATTGTGATGTCCGGCAGCGCTTTGTGCCCCTGGGCACAGCCCCCGAACAACGGTTGGGCCCTTCGCCTGGCACAGAAGCTGGGCTACACGGGGGCCAATAAGGATCGGGAGATATTTCAGTTTCTGCGCCTGGCCAGGGGCGGGGACATTGTCAAGGCGACCGCGCAGGTGCTTAACAAGGAGGAGAAACACAACCGCGTGCTGTTTGCCTTTGGACCAGTCGTGGAGCCCTACAAAACTGGGCACACGGTCATTGGCCAGTCGCCGTACGAGCTCATGCAGCAGACCTGGAGTCGGCGTGTGCCCATGATGTTTGGCGGCACTAGCTTTGAGGGGCTGCTCTTCTATCCAGGTGAGTTGTAGCCCTGGCTGCGGCCGGACATCTTTTTTATTCTGATCCTAACCTACACCTTACAGAGGTTACTCGACGTCCTGCCACACTGGATGAGGTGGGCGATTGCCAGAATGTTTTACCCATTGATCTGGGCGAGAATCTGGATCCCAAGTTGCGCGAGAATTACGCACTGCAGCTGAAACGCGCCTACTTTGGCAAGGAGTCGTGCAATCAGGCGAATATGATGAAGTTCCTCGATCTGGAATCGTATCGCGAATTCTGGCATCCCATCTATCGCACAGCCGTGGCCCGACTACGTCTGGGCAGCGCTCCCACATATCTGTACCGTTTCGATCACGACTCCAAGCTCTGCAACGCCATACGCATTGTGCTCTGCGGCAATGAGATGCGTGGTGTGTGCCATGGCGATGATCTCTGCTACATCTTTCACAGCATGTTGGCCAATAAGGCGGCGGCTGGCTCAGCCGAGCACAAGATCATCTCTGGCATGATTGACATCTGGACGAGCTTTGCGGCCAATGGGGATCCCAACTGCGAGAGCATCAAGCAGCTGAAATTTGCGCCGCTCGAGAGTGAGACACAGATTCAGTGCCTAAACATAGGACAAGACTTTGAGTTCAAGACGCTGCCCGAGCTTGACAAGCTACATCTCTGGGATAGTTTCTATTCTAGAAATAAACTTTAAGCTAGATTAGATCTGGGTTGTAATTGGTTCTATAGCTTTAGCTAACAGATTTTGAGGCCTCGTTTGTATCGCATGTAAATATCTTGTATATATTAAAAATGTTACGAGCATTTTTTATATTTAAACTCAAGTTTATTTTTATTTATTCTGACGAGCTGTGTTTTGTTCAACCTTTCTCCATATGCAGTAAATAGAAGTGAACAATAAACATTTTTAATATGATTGTAAGGAAGCACAATTTATTTCATTGCAGTCATCTATTATAATGTCTTATACATATAAAGTTGTCTTCTGCATTTTTTTGATATATAATGTTAAATTTATTTCTTTCTTGGGAAATTTAATTTGACAAAAAGTTAAATGTTCCCGTTTCCACTTGTAAGGGAAATGTTAAATTAATAGGCAAGTATGGCAATGCCGTTAGCTGAAAAGCCTGGACAATGCAGAGTGGTTCCATGTAGCAACTTTACTGCCACACTGTGGAGTTTTGAAGAACATTAAGTGGGACCTCTCGCTATATGCATGGTTATAAATCATGTCTTAAATAAAATGAATGCACCTATCTTATAAAGGAGTGTGCACTATAAAATGATTGAATCATATAATAAGCTAGGTTATAAATGTGCAATATAAAAGGATCATATGAAATAATAAGCTAGATTATAAAATCCAATGGGCAAAGTGAGACGATGAGCGTTGCCATGTCAGATTGTGTTGTTTTCAATAAATTAAAAGGTGGCAGCAGCAGTGCAATTATTTAACATGTAGATAAATGCATACGAATGACCACTATATTTATAGCTTTTAGTGCAGACAAATGGTGGATAGGTTCTAACAAGTAGGTCACTTAGCCTAACATAACATACATAAGTTATCGAGTTTAAGTTTTATATGTTTAACTTGCTGTTCGATTTGACGGCAACTTGATGCTTGGACAGCGGACAATCAACTCAAGAAAGGACACATTAAAAATGTTTGCAGCCGAATTAAATGTTATTTGCTTATTGTTAATAGAATTCCGGGGAATCCCTCACATTTGTAATTCCTTTACTGCTGTTGCTAGCTGTTATAATGCTTTTATTTATATGTTCTGCACGACTTTGCTGCACGTCAGGGTGACCGCATTTAAATTTCTCTACTAGTTTTCAATAATTTCTTGTATTTCAGAAAACTTTTCACTCAAGCTAACAGTTTCGTTTATCGTCAAATGTCTGACCCTTAACCCGAGTTCGCTTCCTAGCTCGTTGCTGTATTGTTTCTTCACACCTACACATGCACTCAAACACACACAAACACACTCTCTCTCGTGGCTGTATGTAATACATATGTGTAAGCCGACGCTTGACAATCAAAGGGTACAACGACAACATTTTCCGCAACGCGACCGCCAACATCGACCCCAGAGAGCGGGTAAAAGAACTAGTGTTTGTGTGTGGGTGTAAAATAGAGGGTAAAATAAAATTCTACTAAAATTTTTGCAAGTTTTTAATCTGTTTTTTTTTTTTGTTTGGTTGCTTTTTTTTGCACATGCCAAAATGTTTGTGTGGTAAATTCAAAACGGCTGCCCACGTCGACCGTGGTCCTGGCGCGTGTTCTGCGCGACGGTGAAATTTCATTTGTCGACGCGCCGTGCACCAAGTCAGAGTTTCATTCTTTTTGGTATTTTAAAAATTCTTTTCTGTTCTGTTTTTTAAGGTTTAGATCCGGGTTATGGTTGTGACATGCGGCGGGGCGTGTCACTTGAATGTTGGCCATGTGCGCAGCGTGTAAAAATGGGCGTGAACTCAATAAATTAGATTGTTTTTTTTTTTGCGAAAGTCCTTGACATGGACCTTTTGATTAAATATTTTTGGTAGTTATTTTTAATTTAAGCTGCAAGTAAATTAAGCGAACGCAATTTTTGATCAACTTTTATTGTTTTGCGGCTTCAATAAGTTGAGTTTTTGTGTGTAAAATAACATTACTGTAAAAACCTGCATAATACCAAATTGGTTAAGGACTATTTTTATTCAATGTATAATGTGCTACTTGGCTTATAAATAATAATATTATAGGCTTATGGCTATTTAAAAGCAAAATGATTATTTGTTACATAAATTTGTCAAAACTGGCTGACATATTTGACTTATATATATTTTATTTATTAACTTTAAATATTCGATTAAATTAGATGTGATATGCTGAAGCAGCTGTCTATTTTTTGTAGCATTTTTTTATTTTTTTATTTTAAACACGTAATGAAAAGTTGGTTAATTAACATATATATATATATATATATATATACCCCTTTAAATATGTGTGTATTATTTATTATGTATTAAAATGCAGCCACATTTTGGCAGCCGCACTCTGAGCGCTTTCTTGCGGGCGCATCAAAGTATGCAACGCTTTTTGCTTAAACTCTGCTGTTGGCATATGCCACCAATACCTGTTTGCACGCATGGGTATGTATGAGCGTGCGTGTGTTTGTGTGCGTGCGGGTTGTTGTTGCTGTTAAGCTATATTCATCCGCCGTGTTCGCAGTTGCTGGTGTTTGTTGTAGCTGTTTTTGGGCTCGACACAGTCAGCTTGATGTCTGATCATATTTGTTTGTGGTTTTTCGTTGTGGTTGCCGCTTAACAAAAACTGTACACACACCCACACACACACACACGAACACACACAAGGGCCAACCACAATTATAATGGCCTAGCCAGCTTTGGCACTTATTGAAGTTCAACTTTTATCAAATTAAATTTGCCGGATTACAGGTATTTAGCGCTGAACAGTCTGCGGTCTAGCGACCGGGCAATACAAGTGGCATTAGCGGTTGTAATTGAATTTCAGCTATAAATGTGAAATTCTCTCGTTTTTTTAGCATGTCGGCTTAATTGAATGTACAGCACATATAAATAAACGAATAAAAAACATGCAAAAGAAAAGCGACTCGAAATAGCTGCCAATGTCGATTTTTGTAGCGTACTCGTTTTATTATTTCTAGTTAAACTAATTGATAAAGAATATAGGCATTGAATGATAGCGAGAGCGCTTTGTTTCAGTGTTGGTAAACGTTCGATTGAATAATTGTCAGTTGCACAAAGTGAATTAAGATGAAATATATATAAAATTTCTAAATAAATGTGTCATTGGCTTAGGTTTGGCACTAAAAAAAACATCTGCTGATCAATTGTAGATTTCCGTTAACTCTAACTGCTAACCACTTTGACTGACCCTGAATGCTGCCAGGGCAACGCTCTTAAGTGCATCTCTCTCTTTCTCTCCATGTGTGTGTTTTTATTATGCTGCAAGCATAAATTATTTTGCTGAGTGCCTTGAATTACCTGCAGAAAGGAAGCAGCCAGTAGGTTGCACCTGAAAATCACTTCGAGGCAGCTCAATTTGAGCGTAAATTTCGTTTTGGTTCCACTTACAAAACAACAACAGCGGGGGGCAACAGCTTTAATAACAAACACAATTTAAGTGCACATAAAATGACTGAAATATTCCTTTACACCCCTCCCCCCTCCTACAACACTACCATTCCACAACCATTTACAGCACCTTACCCACTTGCACTTGGCCAGGAATTATGCACTCCAAGGATACGACCCGCATTTTATGCACTCGCCAGTAAAGTTATTGAGTAATCAGCTTTAAAATTCTGAACTAGCTGCTGCCCCCAGCTTTGGGGCGTGGCTGTTGTTTGTTTCTTGGCCACAGTAGCTCGACTGTGCGCTGGTTGCAGTTTGCTGCATGCCCCATAAAATGCGCAAAATGTATGCCCAGGCACGTGGCAGCTGAAAATGATTGCGCGACATGCTTGCTTTATGCTTTTTGGGCACCACGATTTATGTGGTTCCCTCTGCCAGTTGCGAAGCGGTTTGCGAGTGGTTGCGGGTGGCTCTACTACTTGCTGCCTGCAGCCAGCTGTTGCAGCTGCTTAGCATATCGCAATGCCCGCCAGCCCACGTGACGTATGGGTGTTAATAACTTTTAACATGTCAGGCTAAAAAACTAATCAGCAGCAGCAACCGCAGCAGCAGCAGTTGTAACAGACTGCACAACATTTCATTAAGTGGCAACTTAGTAACTAATCGTTCGAAAATTCAACATTGACTACTAATACCCTTCAGCATTTAAATTTACAAATTTAAAATATTTATAATATTAAATAAAATAAACTATTTACAGTGCCTGAGGCTCTGGGCTAGACAGAAAGATACATAGATACCAACTCCAAAGCCATAGCTCTTACTTTGGTGAGAGGGGCATTGTATCCAAAGGTTAAGTATGTCTACCAAATGTACGCTGTTATAATCTTCAAATTCCCAATTTTGCGTCTTAGCACCAAAAATATGGGTCCAAACAAAATTGAATCTGCTTGAAGCCTAATTCTTCTGATTACCACATGCAAATTCCCAATTTAATTAGGTTTTTTAAAAATAGAATTTAGTATTTAATTTATTGAAAGCGAAATTTTTTTCAATATATTTTTAAGCACAATACTTTCAAAATTCATTCAGAATGAAGGATTTGTTTAATATATATTTGTAGTCAGTTGCTAACCTTATTTCCTAATGTAATATAAGGGAAGCAATAGATAAACAAGTCCTTCATTCTGAATAAACTATATATACCTTCGATCTGAATTAACATAAGTAATCCTATAAATAAACTTATATACACATATATTTATATTTGTATAACCTTCGTGTCAGTCGTCTAAGTTGTTACCTATCCAGCCGCTGCTATTGTCAAATTCTGACAGGGTATTCGCAACTATTATTTATTGTCTGACCGAAGGACCGACATAAATAAGGCGCAGACAATGGACAAAGTAGTGTGCCTCTTGGTACACATTTTTTTCTCTGGCGCGCGCACACTTAAGCGCTTTTATTTTTTTTATTATTTGTGTTATTTTTGTTTACTTATTTAATTTTTTTGTATGCTGCTGGCAGACTCATTAAGCCCCAGTAATGACACTTTAGCGCTGTGAGCACGTTCTAAGCGCCAGCAATAATTCATGGCACTGAATGATTTGTGGTAGCCAGCGCAACAGACTTCGGCCCTGAGAAGAGAGCCCATCGAAGTCGCTGCCACAGCGTCGAAGTGTGAATATTTCGAGTATTTGATGGCATATTTAAAGGTAAAAGTGAGAAGCGAGCAACTTAGGGCCATTTTTTTT